ACCTCTGAAATACTCCAGCTGGATGCAAATTATCAACTAAGAAAAGGTGAAGTTAGCATAGTGTTAAGAACCAGAAAAAAAAAAAAACACCAAAATATATTCGAAATCATGAAATTTGAATAGTAACTTAAAGGTGATAGACATTAAAGAACTGCTGATTTCGAATTTTTTTAAAAAGAAGGAACAGCAACTATGTCAAATGAAGATATGGAAAACTGTACCTCAAAACCTGAATTTTGCAATGATTATAGCAATGTCATTTCTTCTGCAAGCTTTAAATAAAAGTAATAAAAATAGCTAAGTGAGTATGCAGGTAAAAAAAAGTTAAAGATTAATTTCCCCTTTAAAGTAGAGACATAATCCAGGTAAATTAGCAAATAGGATATGTTTCTTTTGTGGCCTAATAAGGAAAAAAGCAGCTAGTGATACTTGTAACTTGTACTAGCTGCAAATGAAAATCTAAATGTCTAATAGTATTTTTCAAATTGATTAAGGGAAATACATTGCTGATTATAAGACTGAAATTATAGTTGGGATTTACTGAATCTATTCTGTCACTGAAAAACAGGTTCATATATGGAATTAATAATCTAGTTCGCAATATAACTTCTTTGCTTTTGTTCCTGTGTAGAAATCTAACATAAGATGAAAAGCATAACTTAGAAATATGCAGTATTTCTGTGATGCATTAAGTTACTAAAAAGGAATAATTAAATGTTAATATCTTGATCCTCAGTACATCAGGAAGTGCATACATATTGTAATTTTCGCTCAATAGTTCTGTTAGAAGACCTTCATGCCAATATCTTTATATATGATTAATACCAGATAAGAATGTGGATTTTTCTTCCCACTCTCTAACTTCAAATTGATGTGCATTTGTAATTTAATAGTTTTTCAAACATATTCCAAGTAGTAGTACATTAATACAATACCTACGGACAATTAAAAAAAAAACTGAATATTCTTTAAAAGGGGTGAACATAGTTTAGATTATAGTTATCATTAGACAACCAAGAACTTTTATTTTCCTTTTATTCTTTTATTTTTTAGTCCTTTTAGTCTCTACAATGTGTCAATCACAAATTTTTTAATGTCCATCTTTAAGTAATCAATGGATTTGAATATGTGTAAGAGAAAAAGCTGAAGATACTGACTAAAAGTAGTTATATGGATACTTTTTAAATCTTACCTATTCTTTTGTATACTTAATTCAATTTTATGAAAAGTTTTGTCACATCGTTACAAGTAAATTAAAACTTAAAAATGAACTTTCATTATGTTAACACTCTTAAATTATATGGGAATCTTAAAAATACAGAAGACTATGTCTTAGAGTCATGAACTTTTTTATGGGAACTTAAGGGCTTTTCTACTTGTTTTGCTTTATACTTTTCTGTGATTCTTTATATTTCAAAATAATTGCTCTTGTTACAGTTCTTTGGTGCTCTTATGATTACTTTTCTGTAATATATTGTTTACTTCTACTATGTTCAATTTTAATGGAGTAGAAATGAGGAAGGATGCCCATAAAGTTCAACTGAAATTCCAACTTAGTACACTTTCACAAAATTTGGACTTTTTTCATAAAGTTTGTTCATTACAAAGGCAACAAGGAGCTTCTGAACCAATTAAAAATGAGGTCTGTATGCTAGTGTCCTGATAAATTACTCTGTAGCCTAGACTTCAACAGGAAACAAAATCCATGTGTAAAAGATTACACAATTTTCTTTTACTAGGGATCAATAATTGGTACGTTTTAATGATATTTTCACTTTTAGTAGTTTGAATAATATGCTTGTATATGCTGTTCGATGTAAATTTACTTCTCAGTGGAAAATTAGATAATTAAAATATTTTGATAAACAGGTCATGAATGTCAGAAGGTATTGAAAAATGAGTCAAAAGGGTAATAAAAGAATAAAAAATTAAAATTATTAATTCACTAGTAGTTCTACATAAAAAAAAGCATGTGAGAAAAAAGACTCAAATTTGGGAATTCAATACTTGCTAGTATATACAGGACAAAATGGATATATGTTAGATATATGCAAATTTATGTTGAAAGGTATGCACAATTAACTACTGCATCCACTGTTTTGTTTTCATTAGCGTCACATAAAATTTGAAGGAACACTCTCCTTGTAAAAATCTTTGGGATTTAATTTCCTCTAAAAGCATTACCAATTATGATGTATGAAAGGTCAGAATTCTCCCCCTTCCACTTGATGCAAGAACTTGGCAGTAATCGATAGTACTGAGTGACTGTCCTCTGCACCGATTTATATTTTCAAGTTATCTGTCTTTAATTTGGTTTGCGTAGAGCTGGGGAGGCCACCGAGAACTTTCCACACAGTGAAACAGAAAAGATCACAAGCAGAGAGGTAGCAATATCTAGAAATCAGCAACTGAAATGAGGTAGTTTCCCCATTGCCTGTGAAACCGTCTTCCCAGTGATGGAATTGTTTTCATACAGATTACTGTTTGTCCAATCAAACCTAATCCACAGACACCATGCATGTTTTTGATGTCACCTTAGCATGTCCAAGGGAATTCTTTCATTGCCAGGCGTCGGTACCACCGCACTGTGGCATGAGGAAATGGACTTACTGCTAAAGAATATGGTTCTCCTCCAACTTTAAAAAAAATACGAACTCTAAAAAACATACAAATGGCTAAGAAGGAATGGTATATAAAATATTTTGAGATGATATAAAGATCAAGATATACTCTAGATAGCACAAATTTCATCATATATTTTCAAATTGCATATGTGTTATATTTGGTCATTCTCTAAGCTACTCTTTCACATCTTAATTTAAATATTCACGTGTAGACTGAGATGTGTGTAAATTTTTGAAAAAGCCCCAAGATAAACTAGAAGAGAAGTTATAAGTTGTCAAGTTCACTTTTACCTTTGCCTGACAAGGAGCTCCATGCTTGGACACTGCTGACAAAAGGTCTGCAAGAACTGGGGATCTAGATAGACTCTCTGTTTCATCCTTATGTACAAAAACAACAGAATAAACCTAGCACAAAAGCTGTCTTACACTGTCCTTTACAACAGATTTTCTTTCTGGCATGATTTTTGCAGCTGATAGCCAACTGGGGAAATTTAAATTTCTTGCTTTCTCCACCATAGTGAAATGGTGAAACAGGAAATAATATAACTCTTTCCTAAATATGTAATATTTAAATATTCAATTGAACCTGGCTTTTAAAATAAATATAGGGACTGAAGCTGGTTTATAAAAGAAAGACTAGCATAGGAACCTATAAATTAACCTGCCTGATAGTAATTTATGTATCTTGTTTCAGCCAACATAAACATGCCCATCCCATTTTTGTAGTTGACATTGTTTGTTAAACAAAAAAGTATTATTTTGTGCTTAGGTTATTCATCGCATTAGAATGATTTCTTTTGCGTGAGTCATTTGGGTTACAGCGATTCAACAAATACACTGAAGATGGAAAGAAAGGCGAGAAAAGTGAAAATAATATAGTACATACATCAAAAAAGTATCTTCTAAATCTCAATCAGTTGTTTATTGATTGGCAAACAAGTTTCACTTTTACAACAAATATTAGTAATGAGGTCATCCAACCTTGAGACCATACAAAATGGATCATAAATTTAAAAAAAAAAGTATGTGCTGCTAATTTACCTCTTGTATTACTACGTACTTAAAATCCTGTCAAATAAATAGTTTTCTTATTAATAAGTAGAAGACTTTTTTTAAAAAATTGATTTTAAATAATTTGGCTTTCAATTGGTACTACACGGGACAGAATTTCCTCTAGAAATTGGTAGGGCAGGTGCCCCCTTGGGGCTCAGACTGAGCATTTATAGCTTTAACATCTATGGGATATCGTTTTTCACATGCAAAAGCCCCGCTAGCTCTATAGACACCTCCTGACTTCCAGAATCATAGCTGCCAGTCTTGGTGATGAACAGCTCTCCAAATGCGCTTTGCATTACAACGGGAGTGCCCTGTAAACATAAAAGCTCATCCTGCTCTAATTTGCAAAAATTAAATTTAAAAAAAAAAAAAAAGGAAAGAAAAAAAGAATAGAAAAAATGCTGTTGGAAATATTCCGGCTGGATAAAGATATATAGTGAGGGAAGGAAGTCTAATTTTATTTATTTTATTTTATTTTTTGTAAAAAATAATTTGTTTGCATTACTAGAAAATGATTCTTATAAAGTGATAGTTTTATTTATTTATTCATTCATTCATTTATTTTTTTGCCAAGTGAAATTTAAAAGAAAAAAAAAAGACAAAAAAAGAGAGAGAGAGAGAAAAAAGAAAGAAAATGAAGAAAGGAAGGAACCTTAGCTCTTTTTCTGGTAGACATACTTGCAAGACTAGCACAAAAGAAAAAAAAAAATCATTTTTTTTCCCACTACGTTAACAGGACTCAAATTCTGAGAACAGAAAGCAGACTCTATGTGCAATGCTAGTATCTGTACATTACATAGAAATTGTTCAATTTTTTTTCTGCCATTAGTTTTATCATCAGTTAATACAGCAAATCATAAAATATGCCTTTAGCATATAATTCTAGAACTCCCCTCCACTTCGTGATTAATTTTGTGGTCTTCCTTCGTCGTCCGCAGCGACTCCCGCGGTCGGCGGCCCGCTCGCTCCGCTCCGGCCCTCCGCGCTCGGCTCGGGTCCTTCCGGTAACAGCGTCGCGAGTCGGCCGCGCGCGGAGCTCAGCAGGGCGGCGGCCGTCTTCAGCGCTCGCTCGGCAGCCTCGCGAAGTCTCCCCTCGAGGGAAGGCAGGGGCGGGCCAGGACGGGGCTCCGGGGAGTCCCGGCGGCTGTGTTTCTCCCCTGGGCCGACCTACAAATCCCAGTTTTAAAAAAGAAAGAAAATAATAATAATAATTAAGTCTCCGAGTCTGTCTCTCGAGAACTTCAGCGTCCAGGTCTCGGGGACCCGCACGCCCACCGCCGCGCGGCGCAGCGCAGCGCCCCCGGCGGGCCCGGGGTCCCCTCAGAGGCTGGTGACCAGGTGCGCAGGGCCCCGCGCGCCGCGCTCGGGGGACGCGCCGTCCTTGCCCGGGGGCGCGATGAAGCCGTCGCTGCTGCCGCGCCCCAGCGGGTAGTAGGCGTGCAGCGGGGCGCCGTGCGCGCGGGCGCCCAGGTTGGGCATGCTCTTGTAGTAGGCGTCCTCCGCGTCCGCGCCCCGGGCCGCGGGGGGCTCGGGCTGCGCGCAGGCGGGCGCCCCGTCGGCGGCGGAGGGCGCCCCGGCCAGGGCCGGCAGGCTGGTGCAGAGCGGGTCCCTGGGGGGCGAGGGCAGCTCCTCTGTGTGCTCGTTGCTCAGCAAGGGGAAGAAGCTCTCGCTGTGGTCCTGGGGGAGCCGCCGCCGGGAGTAGTGGTGTGGCTGGTGGTTCTCGGTGGGGTACGCGCGCGGGGGCAGCAGGGGCGCGTCCGACTCCTCGTGGATGAGCTCCAGGCCCAGGCCCTCCTCGTGGGTGAAGGACGCGGCGTCGTCCAGCACGATGCTGTCGTCTTCGCCCCCTCCGCCCAGGTTGTTGACCAGCTTGTTCATCAGATTCCGGTTCTGCTCACTGGAGCGCTCATGGTTGTTCAGGTAAGAAGGGATATAGTTGGAAGTGAGTTCCTTCAGAATCTTTTTCTCTAGGGCGGTCTCGGTATGGTTATAGCCTCGGTCTATGATTTGCACACAGTTGCTCAGGTATTCGCCACCGGCAATGCTGTAACTATTGCCATGGTTACCATTCAGTGGTAGAGTATCCATGACACTTGTATCCCTGGCATTGTTCAGAAGCCCCTCTGAAAAAGATTACAAGACACTATGACATGGATATCCAGTAGTCCATAGGACACATACACACACACACAAACACACAACACACACACAGAAGCAAAAACATTCATTGACTATGAAGTTTGTACATGTTGCTAGCATTCTAAGTACTAAATCTTTGGAGAGAAAAAGTACTATGAAATCTATAGGTACGTAATCATATCTGTGTTGTGATCTTTGGACAACTGATGCAAATTTTGTAAAAGGGAGCAAGGTATCTAAAATAAGTCTTACAAGAAGTCTAAAGACCTACACTATCGATTGGCAGTTTCACAGAAATGTCTGATGTTACTTGAAGTGTATTTGTTATAACTTGAGCAAAATAGTACAAAATTTTGGCCTAATCATTCATAGCTTTCAATTTATACACAAAAGTCGATTAAATACTGTACTTCATTACATTTAATTTTACATGTTGTTTTATCATCAAAATTGCTATAATACTAACAATTTATGTGAGGTACTTTGAATAGGGAAGTCAAAGTAAAAGAAGTAAATACTCAAATAATTTGAAATATAATTTTGAGATTAAAAATAATCCCTACATAAAAAAATGACAAAAAAGATTATGCTAAATTTGGCAGAAAGACATAGTCATGAAATAATGCTTTCTCGAATAAATGCCAGATCAAAATAATGGACACATAGAAACTTTCAAAAGTATCTGTGTTGGCTAAGTTTTTGGCTATAAGCACTTTACTTATTGTTATAAATTAATGCATTAGTGGTTGTTTAGGGTCATTGGGTAGTATTACATAAAATTGCTTTAAAAACACAGAGATTTGATTCCTAAAAACAGAGTGCCAGTATTAAAGCTATTTTAAAATGTGTGATGGCTTTGGAGTATATCTAATTTTGAGTTTAAAAGAGGATAAACGTTTTATTCTGGCAAGAAACAGCTGCATTAAAATAAATCTGATCATATACTTCTTCAAGTTCTTTGCATTTCCTTGAATAAATAGAAATTCAAGCATCTATAATAGTTTCATAAATCAGTTCAAATGCAACCAAAAATACACATTTAACCAATACTGCTACATGAAAAAGTATTTGCTTACAAAATTATTAATTGAAAAATCTATTCAGCTTCTCAATACATTGCTAACTTGTGAAAACACAGCACTCATTCTATATCTGTGATGCAGTTATTTTTCTCAAAACTCAACTCGTTCAATTCTAGTTTAAATGAGGTGTTCATACTGTCAAATTTATATGGACTTCTAATGCATACTGTGTATTCAAGTGACACAGATTTCAATGAACAACCATCACAGACATAGGTTGAAGCCATTTATTTTCATGTCATATCTTATACACAAATCCACAATGTTAAGAAGAAAAAGAAAAAGGTAAATGCCTTTTAAAGCATTGTGTGTGATGGGTGGTTGCTGCTGCAGAGGCTGTATGGTATGCCTGATGGTCATGGCTGGGTGGCTGATGCATTGAAACATGTATCGATTTAGTTTCCGTTGTCAATGCATTAGGTACAAACTGAAAACAGCCACGGCAAAATAAAGTAGGTGTGTTGCATGTGACACGTTTTTATGATGGAATGTACCAATAAAAATTAAAAGTTTATGAGTTACTTAGCAAAAATAAATGCTTAATTTAAAAACAATTTAACTCACACAAACATCACATGAAACTTAACAACTATGTTGAGTATGCGACAGAATAAAAGAATCAGACAACAAAAGCGTCTAATCTCTATTAGCATATATTTATATAGATTGATTTATAAGATCTTTAGTTTTTAAATTGTGAGATGAACTGTTTTTAATAACTACATCATCTATATGTGATGCAATAAAAGTGAACTAAAAAAAATTACATTTGATATGCAATGTTTAGCTTTACTCCCATACTTGTCTCTCTGTAGGGCTCTAAACGACAGCATGAAGAAAAGGAAAGAAAAAACAACAAGTAAGCTTACAGCGACAGCAGGAGAAACATGAGTAAAAAGCAAATTGATGATATGCAGAAAAAAGAGTCGAAGGAAATAATTTCCACTGCCCCAAAATTCATGAATCTGTGTTACATGGTTTACCATAATTGAAAAGACTAAAATGTTAGTCAGAAATAAGAATTTCCCCTTAATACATGCTAATATAATGAGTGTTTAACTAGCATTTCTGCAGTTTGTAAAGTTCAAACAAATACACCATTATAGTACAGTTACCGCACAAACCAGAAAGCGTAAAAAGAGGTGAGCCGTGCCTATTTCCACCACTATTTTTCAGTAGTATTTGTGGGATATTAGAACACACCTGCTTGTAAGGAATGTCATATAACTTTAGAATTTATTAGAACATTATTATTAAAATGCTTAGCTTGGATGTAAACAGAAAACCAGAGTCCGAGGTTTTCATTCTTGTGTTCACTTTTCTCCCCTCTGTCTCACTCCTCTGCTGTACAAAGATTATTTTCCCCCAATGCACTTAGACAAATGTTGTTTACTATTTCTACTTAAAACTTGACCAACACTGTCATTTCTGGAGCTCATGTTCAGGAGTTGTGTTACTATAGAGGGAAAAAAGGTTAAACCCATTTGCTAAGCTATATCAAGATGATGTGCGGGAGACACCACCTTCAATAGCAAGTTTTCCTCTGGACTGCAGCACAGTTGTATGCAATCAAACATTCTGAGGTTTAAAAACAATCCTAGAAACAATATTTGAAAAATAAAACTTATATCGTAATCAGGTCGGAAGAATTTCTCTTGCTGATTTTGTTTATAAGGAGGTTACAATATTACAACACTGAGAACCAATGGATTCTCAAGGCCAGATCACTTCAAGACATTGCAAGTTACTGTTTGACTGGACAGTTTTAAGTACATTTTAAAGGTTGGTTTGCTTCTCAGCGAAAGAGACTCACAACATTTTAGAGACTCACAACGTTTTAGAATGCAGAAGGAATCTCTTTTTAGCTTTGCAAATAATTTTAGAGTAAGAGTTTGAAATAAATAGTCAAGCTGTTTATCACCACATGAAGATGGCTGTAGGGATCACAGTGGCTGGGCCCTTAAATGTGATCAAATTAGCATACAGGAGATCACCATAGTTCGTTTGCCTGGAGACTCTACAGCCTCTAGCCCTTATCTGCTGCCTCCACGTAGAATAGCAAAGCTGGGGTAAAGAACAGAGGTCTTTAGCCTTCCTGCAACTCTGCTGCAATTTTTCCTTCCCATCTGCCATAGGCTGTGAAAGCCATGAGAACATTAACCTCTACCCTTTACAATTTAATCTTATATTTATGTTCTCATGAACTGTAATGTATTCTTTACAATATCCCATCCTATGGATGTGTTTTAAAGTTTTAACATTGCATTAAATTACTTAAAAAAGTAAATTTATTTTAGTAAACTCATGACTTCTCATGTTGTGTTGGTAAGTTTTTCTGGACTGGGTTACATCTTTACAAAAATGGAACTTGTAATACCGAGAAGGAGATAATGAATCAGAAATAAGATGCAGGAGATGTTAAATATTTCTAAAGTAGATTCTGAATTCAATATAATAAAAGCATATTAGTCATTTTTATTTCTAACTACATGCCTCAGTAACATTATATATACAACTTTACACATTTTAAATGAAAGCACTGTTAGCAAGAATACTTTAAACCTGAAGGCTTGTATGCCTAGATGGCTCCGGTACAACTGAATTGGAAAGCACACACAGCACAACAAACGGAGATCCCACAAAAGCAACTCCAGTACATACCGAGCCACCTATACTGCATGTATGATATCACCTTGCCAGTAAGAATACAAACGCATTCATCTGAAAGTATAAGATTAGTAGTAATACAACAGTCACCACTATTTGTTTTAGGTCACTGTTAAAAGATGAATTTCTTTAAGAACGATCATGATTAGCAAAAAACAAAAAAGTCCTAAACTATCAAATAGCTGGACAATTTCAATTCTAACCATGAAAAAATTAATAAAATTCGTTTCTTTTTAAGAAAGTTCAGAATTTATTAAATTTGCTGGAATAAATGACAAATCCAGTTACAACTAATCCTTTTTTATTTATTGATAATCATAATACAATTACCAGTAATGGATTTCACAGGAATAAATATCTGTGTATATGCTATTATTTAAAAATTTGTACTAATTTTATTTAGATTTTTTTTATACAAGTGACCCTTCTTTCAAAGAATCCCCTCTTTTGGATATCAGTATAAGTAATATAAAATGAGGCAGATTGAAATAGTGAAAACATACAACTAATATTCTTTTTTATTATATGAGAAATTACAAAATATGTTTGAAAGGATAAACCAAAAATGTGACCCAAATTTCTTACTTAAAAATAATTACCAATAATTCTTCTGTTTAAGTTGAATAATGTAGAGTACATTTAATTTGCAGAGGTACAAGTTTTCAACATTATTCAAAACATGATAGTATAGCAGCACACTTTAAAATGTTTATCATGACATATTTGTCAGGAAAATAAGGAAAATGTAAAAGGGACATCTATACGGTCTACTAAGTGGCTCTATTCCTAAGAGGTCTGGTGCGGGGTGCAACGTACAATTTAGAGTCCTAAAACTGAGGCTGGCACTGACAGGTGGAAGGGCAGAGAGAGGAAGTCCACCAAGAAGAACCCAGAAGATGTCTCGCAAGGATGCTTCCGGTTTTCAAGGAAAACAGAAGACCAGAGGAAAAGAGCTGCTTCTAAGCGCTGAAGGCTTGCCGGACACGGCACAGGGGTGCGCTTCAGCTGTACTCTCTTTGCTCTAGAGGCATGGGAAGCGTCATGACTGAGGAAAAGGCATTTTGAAAAGGCCCAGCATTTCAATAGGAAACGGGATATCCTGAGGAAGGGAGCGCCCCAGTAGAGGAACCATGTAAGTACAGGCCTACAAGCTGACAAAGATGATGTACAGAGGACTGAATGAGGATTCTGTCCCTCCTTCTATGCCACAAGTCAGTGATTCTGAGATATGTGGA